CTTGGCACGTCTGAGAGCTGTCACAGATGAGGGCAATATCGTCTGCATACTCCAAGAAGTCGTTCTCCTGGGAGTAGCTCCACACCTTCCAAGCCATGTCGTGTAAATGCAATCTCCAAGACTTCGTCAGTAGCGCAGTTGAAAAGGAAAGGAGACAGCGAGCATCCTTGTCTCACACCGCTGGAGATATTGAAGCGCTGTGACAGCTTGCCGTAAGCCCTCACACTGCCCGTGCTACGCGCCTATAATGCTGGGATAATTTTTACATATTTCTTAAGGACACCTTTCCTGAGTATACAGTCCCAAAGGTTACATCGATCAACCGAATCGAAGGCACCTTTGATGTCGAGGAACACGACTACGGTGGGTTGCAGATATGTATGACGGTGCTTCAACAATTGATGCAAAGTGAAGATGTGGTCGATGCAGCCACGAACCCGACGAAAACCGGCTTGCTCCTCACGAATCTGGCTGTCACGCGCGCCAGTCAGTCTGTGATGGATTTTGGAGGCGATGGAGATCAGACTGATTGCTCTATAATTGTCGCATTCCGAACGCGAGCCTCCTTTGATAATGGAACGATAACGGAGGGGCTCAATTCGGTTGGGACAGTTTCCTGCTCCTACAGTTTCACTAGTAATTCATGTAGAGCATCAACAAGAGCGGAGCCTCCGAATTTGAGCAGGGCTGGTTGAATATCATCTGGTTCCGCGACATTGTTCAACTTCAACAGTCCGGTCTCTCCTTTGACTTCTGAGCGTGAGGGCGGATCTAAAGGGACAGCGCACGGAGCAAGACGATCAGTGGCCGGCGAGGAATCTAACAGTTCCGGCCGATTAAATTGCTTTCCAACGTGCGCAGCCCAACGCTCTAAATGTTTTGACAAATTGTGGATAGGCTATCCACTCTCGTCACAAATTGTTTCACCAACACCTGGTCTTCTGCTGCCCGTTTCCCGTATCAGACGGAATAACTTACGATGCTTACCATGGGCAGCGGCCACTTCCATCTCTGACGCACGAACAGACCACCAAGATTCGCGGTCTCTCTTCAGACTAGCACGGAGTTTTGCCCGGAGCTCTTTGCGAGTTTCATTCTGTTCGCTTCCAGACTTCATATCCCAGTGAACATTCATCAGTTCCAGAGACCGCGAAGATACCCAGTGACCCTATTGACGATTAAACTTACCACATGAGGATTTGTCTGCTGCTAATGAGGACTGGTGAATATGGGACAAGTGACCTTCAATTGTCTCCAGTGAGCGCTTACTCCACTCGCATGTCAGCGTACTTCGATAGAAATTCCGAAAAGCTGGTTTCGCCAGTTGGCTGGTGTCACTGCGCTCACAGCGTCGTCGTGGCGTCCGCCAAAACGCATCCGCATGTCAGCATATACAAATGCGTGGTCGGTGTCCACATCTGTGCTCCCAATCGAACGACAGTTCTGGATGCAGCCTCTCCAGCGGTTTCTGATAGCAATGTGATCGATTTGTGTCCAATCGGATGCTGTGTCCGATGGTAGTGCTCGCAAGAAATAAGCGAGCATCTTCACACAAATGAAGTAACCGCTCACCGTTATCATTGCAGGAGCCTATACCATGTTGGCCGCCCAGATGCATTTCATCAGTGGACAACTTTCCAACTTGTGCGTTCAGATCCCACGTCAACACCACAGTATCCGTGCTTCTTCTGTAGTGAAGGAGCTGGGTCAGTTGGCGGTAGAAGTCGTTCTTTACCGAATCATCGCTACAGTTTGTGGGCGCGTAGGCAGCGATGATGAATAGACACCTATTAGTCCCGCGCGACTTCGAGGCTTTAAACGAGCCAACCAATCGGACCGCACACCTCCTGCTACTGATTGGAATCCAATCAACCAGCGTAGCTTTAGCCCGGGGACTAAGGGCAATACCAACACCGGCTTGGCCGTTGCTTGAAGCTGCATCGTCACCGGATAGACACAATGAGAAAATAATGTTTGCGTCACCTGAAGGGAATCGCAGAGTGAGCACAGAGCTCGAGTCTTGTAGGCGGGTCTCTGATAAGCTGCAGATATCGTTCGAGAGATTCTCTAATATTCGGGCGAATGCTGTCTGTTGACCGATCTGTAGCAATGTGCGTACATTGAGGCATGCCAATCTGAAGGAGGATCGAGGGCTCCAAACGGAAGCCGGTGAACTGGAATGGACCGCTTGGTTAGACATGGGCTTGTCGACAGGAGAGGAGTGATGCTCCGCGTTAGCATGTGAGTTGAAATTAGAAGATAAACGCCTAGCAACGCATGTTGGAGGAGGGCCAATAGTTGGGGGGTTGAAAACAGGGGGGATAAAAGTGAAGTTGGGACAGGACTATAAGGGAGAAAAAGAGTAAGTGGAGGAATAAGGAGACGGGAAGACTTGAGCAGTAGCATCCAAACCCCTATCCACCCTGCTCGATGCAGCAGATAGGGCACCGTTGATTATCATCTGCGGTGGCCAGAGCATCAGAAATTTGTTTGAAGAGAGATTCATTGTGTTTGGATGGCAGGATACTGTCAGGTTGCGCAGGCCTAGATAATAGAACGATTAAGGTTCTCAACCAAAGCCTTTGGTCCAAAAACCTTACCGCAGGGTGGCGGGTTGGACGTTGGGCTACAAGGATTCCGTTGTAAGGAATAAACAGCCACCTCACTCCAACCCCCAACCTGGAGGACCAGGAGGTTGAGTTTGTGTGGCCTCTAACCATTGACCAATCTGGTGTGAGTGGCTCTGAATGTGCAAAAAGCGCACCACCCAGCATAGCTCAGTGGATCTCTGAGGCACACAAACCATCGCACCCCGGTAAGGTCCAGCCTCATTGCGATGGACACCCCTCAGTGTATACCCGTCAACTGTTTTCGCAAGTAACGAACCAGTGATAGCAGTCTGAATTGTAACGTCGGTTGACACGCCTCACTGATAACCGACGTTACAATTCAGATTGCTTTCACTGGTTCGCCACTTGCGAACGCAGTTGATGGGTATACATTCAGCCGAGCCAACACGAGTTGACAGTATGGAGACACGCGCGAGGATATAATCAGATTCGTGATAAATGCACTAATTCAGTCGATATACTTGTGCTGATGTGCATCGCCTATATCTAAAGATGATGTGCTCTGCTTGAGTCCAGATTAGTCTATTGCTTGATGGCCATCATGTACTTAAGCTGGCATTTATGATGTAAAGTTGTATTCACTGCACAACCGGAGAATTTCACAGACATTATCAAAACGATGAACATCAACCAAAAAACAACCCCCCGAGGTGATGTTCTTACTCTCACAGAAGGCCGGCTCGAACGATATGTACATTTCTGACTCCTGTGGATAAAATAGGGAAGGTTTGTAGGATTCTTCTTTGACAACATGCGACTTACCATCGGTAAGCTCGTAAGAGGAGTAGGCAAACTGGAACCTTTCCTCCAAGCGCTGCTGTATAGCCTCGCGGTCGAATCTTGCACATGCGATTGCAAAATCACCTTTACGCGTCTGCCAACAAAGGCACTGAAACCGTGAATATGAGTCATGGGGTCGGTAACAACAAAGGCATTGAAACTGTTAGCTGGCAAGCACAGATACGTTAAGACGCTATTATCCCGTATTCATATTCCAGTGACAGAGTCCGTCTGGTACGAGAGTGTGTAAAATCTTGGTGAGTGCCGCATGTTTACCGATTCCACAGCGTGTAATAGTGAAACCGATTTGAGGTGTAGCCTTGGCAATATAGCTCCTTTTGGCCGTATGCAGCTTTTTACATTGGCTGCTAGATAGACTGTCACGGATCACCGTACCTTATGCAGAATATTTCCCTAAATCTTTCGAAAGCATGTTACTGTCACACTACTCGCGTACGTGCCGACTATTCTTACCATCTTGAAACAAGCACTGCAAATGACGGGTCGATTTGCTTATCTTCAAGTAACTCACCTCAAACAACCAACGGGTCCAGTAAGCTGTACCAACTCGGAAGTCTTGTGTCATTTTTCAAACAGTCCACCGAGATATCAACGCACTGGACAATGGTACCGTGTACAATACTGCAGTTCCGTCAGCGTTTTTTATCAATCAGAGCCACGGTCATTGCTCATTAAAAATAATAAAGCAGCTTGTTTTCTTTGACCATTGCCACACGCATGGCGCAGCTCACATATGGTGGGACCTCCGAGGGAGTAGTGCTGAAGTACGCCGGTCGATTTTCAGCAGCGCACTCTCCAGTACTACATTTGATCGAGTTTCACACTTTACTCGTCTACTTGGACGCGTGTGTGTGTTCGGGCTCAGATTCAGTGGGAACATGCTGTTGCCTCAGAGACTTTGTCGTACTATTGTGCGTTCGCTTTCCAGGTGGTAGTCTCTGGATGGGTCACGCGAGTCGCTTACGACATACGTGGCATAGTCGGGAACTCGCTGGCACCATTGCTCTCGGTCATTTGCGTCCTTCTGTCCCTAGATTTTGTCTTTTCTAATTCTTCACTTTGGATCGTTGCTTATGGGCATATCTTGTCGTCAATCTCCTTCAGTTAGCTTTCATTTTCAAATGTTTGCGAGCCTTAGCAGTAGCATATTCCCTATTTAGATGCTACGATCGTGGTTTGTGTAGTGGGCACATTTTACAACCATCCTTTTGCTGCTGAAAAGTTTTTCCCTCGTTTCCTTGCTTAGAGTCAGTCTCGCACGAAGAACCCGTCACTAACATCCTGCATAGGTTCACCAGTACAAACCGATGTTAGACTTCCGTAGGTGAGCTGTTCTTTATCACATGCTAATACCGCATGCTGATAACTCTTCTGACTGTTAAGGGTCGTCGTAACACCGCTTCAATACTTACTGTGCTTTTCGCACAGGCCTGCAGCATAGAGGATTATATTTGTAGGGATAACATCAGGTTTTCCTTGATGGTTTTCTGTTTCTGTCAAAGCAGTTCATCTGGTCACTGCCTCACTCCCATCACCAATTCCTCATATCTCATGTTCACCTTCTTGTAGCACCTTCCGCACCATTTTGAGTGACATCGCGAGTAACTTGGGTATCTACCGCGGCTATCCACGCACAATCGGCGGTGAGTTCTGATGACTAGCATTTCCTGTTGTTTCTAATCATCACCTTAATCATGTTCCTTTTCACGCTGCAAACTTTGCTTTCAGTTTGTTCTGTGTCGGATTGGTGAGTTCACGCTTCATGATGCGTTGCCGCGAAATTAGACTGCATTGATGCATGTCTGGCGCATTCTCCGATTAATGGCTCCAATCAGCCTCAATCACAACTAGTGACTCCTTTCACTTTTTTATCGCTGGGTTCCTCTCATCCATATCACGCCATATTATAGCGCAACCTTCTTGTTCTCACCGGGCTATAGCTTGCCTGACAGATAACGAAACTATTCTGCTTTTCTGTGTTTTTCAACTTTTCTGACCCCGTTCTCAAGACCTACACGCTTAAGTAAAGGAAACATGTGCTATATTGTAAGCGTGCAAAGACCCCGCTGAAAACGTTGGTCGCATTAGGAGAACGCCATCATTCATCAGTTGGTTATTGTTTAGCACTGAGGTATACTACGTGTGTCGCACATGCTCTTTTCGCAGGTCGTGCGCAAAGCCCACTATTGATGTTCCGCGACAGCGTTCAAGATTGCTCATGGGGTTCCAACAGGTTAACTCACCAAAAGCATAGCACATCCTTCTTTATCAGAGTCGCCTTCCTCGGTTAACTAAATACTCATCACCTTAATTCGCTAACTCCATTTTTCGTTAGCACATTGCTTTCTCAACCGACTTCTGGAGAGCATGTGGCATATGTCATCCTTATACGACTGAATTTCATCTTGCACTGGATCACGAAGCTAACGCCATGGATCGACGTGTGCTGTCGGTGGATTCATAAAGCATTCACCATCCAGCTGATTTTAGCAGGTTCTGTCGATATTCACTGAACATGCCTGCGTTGGACAAATTGACAAAGGCTAGTGCATCGATGAATGGTGCAGTTCATTGTCTTTATTCGCATATACTTTGAAGGTCAATGATGGACAGCAACCCATTTCTTCTTACACTGTGACCAATTAGTTTTTTGCATTCTCCTCAGGCGTCCGCGATACCCTAGGGTATAAATTCCATTTTGTTAGGAAGTTGTTAGGAGAAGTGCATGCACATCTACGACCGTCATTGAGTTAAGCATATTGGTTGAGATTCTGAAACCCTAACCAATCCTTTGTCATTTCATATGACGCCAATCTTCACTGTCTAACTGACTTCTTTTATTCACTCCTTGTGTTGAACATGCGTACAACGAATGGGAATTTTGTGGTGGCGACCTGAAACACAAGAAGAGCATCCAAACACTGTACGGCCGTTTCCTCCATTCGTTAATCGTCAGCAGTGCGCATTCTATCTAATCCTTGTGGGGCTCAAACCAGCAACTCGACTGTTGCCACTCCGTAGCTATAGGGGACGGCAACGACCATCCTTACTAGATGGGATATGGCGCTGCTCCCTATCCACTGGCCTGCGCGTTACTAATGTGCAGAGGACAGGATAGCCCCTTCACAAACTTAAACTGCCAATTAACATGTAGCGTTATAAGCAGTTTGGTCTGCGTACTAATAACATATGGACTGAAGCAGGGCTCAGTTTCTCCTTGGATTTCGAGTTCTCTGCGTGTTAGTGGAATATTATCGCTGAATTCACAGCTTTTATCTAACTTGTTAAGTACAGCCAATGTATATACGCAGACAATTATCCATGAACTTCACTATATATTAGAGTATTGTTCGACAAACAGCTTCGTTGAATCGTATAGGTAGGGAATTCGCATTCCATCGCTTGGTGAGGGGTTACTCTGTCCTCTGCACGCTAGTAATCTGCAGGTCAGTGAATACTGAGCGACGTTATATCCCATTTAGTAAATTAATGACGATAGTCGTTACAGTCCGTCGCAGCTCAATGGTCTCAATCACAGACTGGCAACAGCCGAGTTGGGGGTTAGAGCGTCACAGGAATCAGCTAGAATACACACAACTGATGATTCCTGAAAGGTTGACGCGGCCGTACAGTGCTTTTCCGGAGCGTGTTGGATGTCTGACTAAGCCTAGATGTACCTATACCATTCAACTCCCTATCCTACTTCCGTGCAACTAATCTATCTTTGTCAGTGAACTGAATCGGCCTTCAATATTTTGCAAAGAATGTCAGAGAGTTCCTCCACATGTTACACCAGTTTTCAGGATTGATGAGGAGATAATGTCTTTACTCTTATTATAGGGCCAAGTTGCAGTTTCATTGCTACATTGTGTCCCCTCTTATTCGGTACTTATTGTGAGAGGTTATCACTTATAGTGGTCACTAGGATCGCGGTTGCCTAGACCGAATTAACTGCATGGGAATAAGGTCGTGCCGCAACACTGTCTGTGGTGCTCGTTAACATTATTCATCATCATCATCATTACACATAAGCTGAATGGGAGAAACACACCTCAACTATTGTGCCGCAATACATAAAGATAAAATAAACGCAAACAGCAAGATGCTTAAAATTATGGAATACTAAACATGGCGACAGCCTACTTAGTAACATATTATGCGACAAGAGGGAGATCGAGGGTGAAGGGGGCAGATAAACGAAATCGGGAGAGACAAAGAAACTCAGCACGAACGCCACTGAGGTCGGCTCCTTGCCATGTCAGCAAGTGTATCTAGCCAAATGTGTTCATCGTATTTTGGTCCCCAACTAGGGAGCCGTGACGCTCCAACCGAGGCCAGATCTGAAGTGAGGGTCTTCATTCTCTCGACCAAGTCATCGCTTAGCCACCCCTCTTCTTCCATCCAGGCTCCGGGCACGCAAACGTCGCGGGAGTCGGTGGGCTAGCATGCGCATCATGTGGCCGAGTCATCGGAGCCTGGTGCGTGATATAATGGTGCTGAGCGGTTCACTCTCTCCTCCTGCATCAAATACACAACGTCGAACATGCCCATTGCTCACGTGGTGCTCCCATTAAATATGGGCTGAGCTGCGAAGGCAGCGATGATCGAACGTGAGTATCCTTTTTATGTCTGTCAACTTGATGGCCAGATTTCACAACCATACAGTAGGGTTAAACGAAGGCTGCATTATAAACTTCTCCCTTCACGGCGAGAATGATGTCTTGCAGGCACCACATGTGGTGGAGATCGGCAAAGGCGTCTCGAGCTTTCGCTATCCGGTTTGTGATCTAATCTTCCGTTCTATTGGCGGTAATATAGCTGCCTAGACATTTGAATTTCTCGACGACTTCTAGCTGATCCCCGCCAAGGGTCAGCGCAGGGTTGAATCCCTGCCAATCTTGGAGAACTTTGTATTTCGAGGGTGCAAAGCAAACCGCATACGACTGATAACCAGTGCGGATTTGTCCAATGCCACTTGGCACGTTTATAAGCTGTCATAGATAAGGGCAATATCGTCGGCGTACTCCAAGTCAAGAAGTCATTCACCTGGGAGCTTCTCCACGCATTGCAGATCGTGTCCAGTGAACGCAGTTTCCATGCTCTCTTCGATGGAGAAGTTTATAAGGAAAGGTGACTGCTGGTGTTATTAAAGGTCGGCGACAGCTTGCCGTAAGCCCTCACTCTGCCCGAACTACGCCCGTACACCGCTCTTATAATATCTACAAATTTCTCAGATGCACCCTTCCTCAGTGGACAGTCCTAAAGCGCACTTCGATCAACCGAATCGAATGCACCTTTGATGTCGAGGAACTCGACTACGGTGGCTCGCCGATAAACAATGACGGTGCTGCAACAATTGACGTAGTGTGAAGATGTGATCAATACAGCCTCGACATCGACGAAACCCGGCCTACTTCTCGGGAATCTGGCTTCCATGTTTGCCAGCACGTCTATTAAGAATGACAGAGGCGGGTATCTTAGAAGCAATTGCCGCATTCAGTACGTGAACCCGTTTTGGAAATTGGGACTATTCTCCAGCGGCTCCAGTCTGCTTGGACAGTTTCATGCTCCCACAGTTTCACAAGTAAGTTTTGCAAATCATCTACAAATCCCCGAATTTAAAAAGAGCTGAAGGGATTCTATCCTCTCCTGCGGCCTTATTTATTTTCAACAGTCTGATCTCACATTCGACTTCTGTGCGTGAAGGCGGACCCGTGGGGACGGCCCAGGGAGAAGGACGATCGATGGCCGATATGGAAGATGGTAACACTGCTCGATTAAACCGCTTTTCAAAGTGTTCGGCCCTACGCGCGAAGCGTTTTTATAAACTGTGGATCGTCCGTCCACCCTTCTTACCTATGGTTTCAATAACACTAGGTCTCCTGCCCGTTTCGCGTATCAAGCAGAATAACTTCTAATGCTTACCAAGGGCAGCGACCGTTACCATCTCCGATGCACGACGAGACCACCACGCTTCGCAGTCTCCCTTCAGGTTAACACGCTGTTTCGACCTGAGGTCTTTGCGAGTCTCATTGTGTTCGCTTCCAGCCGGAACGTGTCGGCGAGCATCCAAAAATTCCAGAGACTGCATAGAGACCCAATGTCCAGCTTATCAACTTGATTTGCCATATAAAGACAGGCCTGCTGCTAATAACGTCTGGTGAATATGCGACCAGTGGCCCTCTACTGTGTTCAGAGGGCGTTTGCTCAGCCCGCATGCCTTGCGTACTTTGATTAGCATTCTGGACATCTGGCTTCGCCAGCTGGCATGTACCTATGCGCTCACAGCGACGCTGCATGCGCCCACCGAGGCGAACTGTAGGATCGGCACAAACGTGTGCGTGGTCAGAGTCTACGCTCGTGCTCCAAATTGAGCGACAGTTTTGGACACAGCCTCTCCAGCGGTAACTGATCGCGATGTGGTCGATTTGCGTCCATGGCTGGTTTGAGGCGGGTGGGCGCCATGTCACCCTTCTGCGGGCGCTGTGTCGGAAGTTAGTGCTCACGAGGAACAGACGAGCATCTTCACACAGGTGTAGCAACCGCTCTCCGTTATCATTACGGGAGCCTGCACTGTGTTGACCGCCCAGATGAAGCTCGTCAGTGGACAGTTTTCCAAATTGGACGTTCGGATCGCCAGACA